GAGGATCTACTGGACTATATGCAATGCTACGGCCACTCAACCACCATGCCTGCCTACATATATATATATATATATATATATATATATATATATATATATATATATATATATATGAAAAATAAGTATACGCCTTTAAAAAACTGTTTATTGGTGACGTTTCGATCGGAAACCGATCTTCATCAGAATTCTACGGCAACCGAAGCCAGACTCTTTATAATCTACGTATATATATATATATATATATATATATATATATATATATATATATATATAGAGAGAGAGAGAGAGAGAGAGAGATTTGTGTTTTGGTTGTTTGTACCCTCCTCCCCTAGCCGTGCTTCAATCGTCGGCGGGTGTTGATGCCTGTGGTAATAGGTGTTGGCATGAAGGAATGAAACTCCGTGGGTGTTGGCCACTTTTCGTTCCAAGTTTCTCGACCCATCTATTTGACCATGCGAGCTATCTCAAAACACCGTGTATCTCTCAGAGCCAGTGAGACCACCAACACGATGAATGCAAAACGCCACGGCTACGGCTCCAGTGGCGCTGTTCATGAGAGAGAGCGAGGGGGGGGGGGGGGGGTAATCGCCTGCCCCCCTCCAATGCATGTGTCAGCACTCCCTCCCCCTCTCTTCGGTGCGTGTCGTACACAATTTATGACCAATTAAGACAAAGGATCGAGTGATGCCACCGTGATCTGACATTAAAAAACGCCAGGCCTGCGTGGTAAGCCCAGCACCGTCACAGCGAAAGCTAGAAGAGCGGCTTTTCAGAGCCTTTTCAAAACACTCATTGGGTAACTACTGCAAGCACATTTTCTGGGTACCCACTACGGCAATAATGATAATAATAACTTCTGAGTAGCAGGCTGGCATTCGTTAGGCCATCCTTCCTCATTCTTCTGAGAAGCATGGTATCCGCTAAACACTTGCAAATAATTTTGTGCCAATTGTTCATGCAGTGGCTGACGACGATGAGTAATACGCCTCAAGAGGGTATGCGGCAAAGTTAATAGGTGATCAAGAACAATTTTTTGTAAGGGGTTGGAGCACATGGACGACCAACTCGCTACGCTATCCGCATTGGGACGTCTGATTGTTCTGTATGATGTTCTAAAACACTTTATTACTCATGTTAACGCGACTCTTTTCGCGGACTCGAGCCTGCCTAAGGAAAGCTTGCGAAGGCTCGAAAGTTCTGCTTGGCGTGGCTCAGTGGTAGAACGTTGGGCTGGCACACTGTGGACCCGGGTTCTAGCCACACTGTGTCCTTGGTACGAGTTTTTTTTTTTCTTATTTCGTGCGATAGTGCATGGTTACGGACAACTACGGCGCCGCGCGTGACCCGAGTTGTAATCTCATAACAGCTTTCGCTGCAACGAAAGCTGTTATGTAGCAACAAAAACATGTAGCAATAAAAGTGCAGGACCCCGCCCTCTATCTCCATGGTGTTACCAAGTTGGTTCTTTATTATATGGTGTTACTTGAAGAAAACCACTCCCCCCCCCCCCCCCTAAAATGAGTGACTGGATCCTCTCCCACCCTGTACACCAATGAACAAACAATTAGTTCATATAATTTTCATCGTGCGGCACTGCATGATGGGTTCTCTGCGTAATATACACACGCAAAGGCTAGGCGATGGGCAAGAGCAGAAGTGCCTCGCGAAAAGGGTGGCGAACGGCTGGATCGGGCGCATCTGGCTGGCATTGTAAAAATAGAGGGGGTGCTGGCCAAGCAAAAGACGTTTATTACAAGGAAAGAGGGAACAACACTAGTGGGACACCACATTTATCGGCATGCAAGGCTTTTCTTTTTCAGAGCGTATCTTCATTCGAATAATTTACCTGTTTGGAGTTAATTCCTCACTCCATAAACTAAAGAATAAAGTGAAAACCAAAATTGAAACCGAAACCGCAATTATTAGCGCCACGTTTTTGCGGCACAAAGCATACAGACTCACGGGTATGGTGGCTAGAAGGAGAGGTGTCAGCATCGCCCCGGCCGCGCCTTGAAAGGAGGCGTGCTCGTATTTCATTACGCCGCGGGGCGGCGCGCAAGTCACCACCGAGATCGGTCGAAAGCACTCGCCAGCCGCTAGCGCGGCACTTTTCAGAGTCGCTTGCTCGTGTGCTCGCAAGTCGCAACGTTTGTGCTGTGCCTAGTTCGATTTGTTCGGGATCAATAATTGCCAATGTGACCATGCCACAGCGCTGCGTAAGACTGCTTTGCACCTGGAAGCAATGTGGGATATGCTTCGGCCCGCAAACAAGGGAAGAAAGCGTCTCTCTTCTCTGCTCCCGCCGATGATGAACGGCGCAAGGCCTGAGAGCGTGCGATTCCTCGCGCTGACAAACCACTGGAAAATAACTGCGTTGTGTGCGAAGCTTATTTTGATGAAAGATTCATCGTCCGTAGCTACAAGCATGTTATCAACGGGTTCTTAGCAACTTGGGGAAAAGCTGTACCTAAGGAGGGTGGGTTCCTGAGTGAACCTACTGCCGAAGGACTCCGCTTCGCTCAAACCAGTACCGTTTCTATTTTGCATATATGTCTGGAAAACATTCTGCTATAAATACTTGATGACGTCTTGCCTCTGCCAAGGCGCGCTTAAAATCTTTTTGTTATTCTGAAGCGAATGTCTGGCTCAAATGATCACCCTACGCCGACACAGTTTTTGATCTCTGTGAATTGCCTCAGTTTTTACAGTTTGGCACAGTCACTCTGCCGTAGAAACATACCTTCTTGAGTTCTGAGCAGCCCTCTAAGTCCGAGCATCCACAATAATTCAATAAAAACTGCACAATAAGCTGGATGAGCTGCAAGATGTGGGGCACCCCAATGAGGTTCATGAAATGATTGTTGCTTGCAAAGCCTCCCTTGACCACACTGATCTCATTGGACGCAAAAGTGACTCCCGGATCACTTATTACGTCAGTGGCTATGTGGCCTGGAAGATGGTGAAAAAGACGAAGTGCAACGAATGTAGCAGGTTTTTGCTTCACTCTGAGAATTCCAGCTTGCTTCCGGCAAAATCATGGCTCACACGTCATATAGACAAACCTGGTCAAAGCTATGGAAGGTGCATTCACCTATTGCTTTAACTTCAACAAGTTGAAAAGTGACAGCATGACAGACGTTATCTCTTGCCTGTCTGAGAAGAGGTTAAATATGGTCGGCTGTGAACACCACAAGCTGGAAGTGACAAATCAGATAATTAGATTCTTTACACTGACCAGAATACATTTTATCGTTGTTGGAAAAAATGCGTCTAATCAAAAAAAGAGAGAGAAATAAAATTGTTGAAGCTGAGACGTATGACTTAATATAACGTTAACTCAGCCAACAAGGCTTTATTTTATGTTATTGTGCATTACTCACACTGTGTTGTTTCTTGTGGTTTTACTATTGTCTTGTTCACTTTGTTGCAAATCTCCCATTAACAACGGTGATGTCACCGTCTGGCTGTGTTTCACATATGCAGAAATCAGTTCTTTCGTAAAACTGCATGGTGTATGACTGTATCTATGTTTGCCAATCAAATCTCAATGTCATGTATGTATGCATGTCAATTGCATCATCGTATATTTACTGTTCTATTTAGTTGCCTTATTCACTTGCTTTAGCTGAGTTTCGTATAACTTGCAGTTCTCTCCAACCTTAGTGCATATGTTGTGTTCATTTTTCATGTTGTTTTTCAATTTCGTGAAAATAAATGTCTTGCTAGTAAAATTAGGCGTTGATTGCGCAAGTCATAAAAATAACAGTTGCCGATACCTCTATCTCCATTGAGACGTCACGGAGAACCCTGTGGCATCAAAGTGAAACTGCACGGACTTTGTTTTGTTGTCAAGCCCACGGCAAGTCATTTTTCGTAGCTGATGTACTACGAAATGAATTAAAAACACTAGTTTCCAGTGCCAATACACGCTTCGCAGCGCACCGCTAGAATTGTGACAGGTAGATTTTGTTATAGTCCGCAGGGTAGCGTGAAATATTTGCAACAAAAAACGACTGCTACACGGAAGCGAGGAGAGGTATCGTGAAAGCGACCGCAGCGCCGCCGCATCCAGGTGAATTCTCGCTCGCTCTCCGGCGCGTCGAGGCTGACACCATTCCATGGCTGACACCTATCCTTCTAGCCAGCGTATCGCGGGCATGCGGGCATAGAGTTTCTCAGAACTCTATGCATGCGGGCCCTCCGTGTGCGGGCCCAACACCTCCTAGACTTCTCTTGCCTGCCGGATTATCAACGGTCACTTAGAAAACGGCGGTCGTCAGAACTACGGTAGTGGCGCTACTCAAGTAGGGTTGTCTTCAAATAGGTTTTTACGTTTTTGGAGCTAATATTCAACAATAATAACGTTAAAAGTTTAAAAAAAGCGTGTACGTGATTAAAAATTAACCATACTAAAGTTACATTGTCATTCAATAAACAACTTTTTCAATACAAGGCTTAGCCTTTGAAGTTATTAGCAAACGCCAAAATTGCCGATCTTAAAACCTGAGTAAAAAGACCTTTATTCCTACGTAGGCAGCGCCTTCATAGATGACAAGTGTTTTGTGCTTATTCGGCAGGCAAAGGAAATTTAGGAGGCATTGGCGGGCCTCGGCCAACGCCTCCTCTAGAAAGATGCCTGAGAAATGGCTCGCGCTTTCAGTGGAGCTGGTCTGCCTTCAGCTTTAAACGAGCTCCGCGCGGTGGCACTCGTGACCAACACTAACATCATGGTGACGGGTGGTACCAGCTAAGCGTTATTCATCTGCGGCCCATAGGGGCGCGTCTGTCAAGAGTTGTTCACACGAAGGAAGGAAAGGTGGTTGTTCAAGACCTGCAAATGTGCACCACTGTTTCGGAGGCTATGCAAAGTGTTGCGTTGTTGCACCGTCCGCCACAGGTGACGCTAGCGACCGAGAACATTTTCAAAATGAAGAAGAGAAAGGAAGTGGCAGCTGTTTTTTTCTCATGCGGCAGGCATCTTCCTAGAGGAGGTGTTGCCTCGGCGTTGACCTTCCCAGCATGCGTAGCGCGGCGCATGCGCTTTGGTTATAGGTTTAGTCGACGGACGCCATAATGGCAAACAAGGTAGTGATATTCTGCTTAATTTAGACCTTGTACGCCTGATCGGCTCTGTTTAATGACATGTTCTCTGACTTCCAGGACCAGGGTAATGACTGTCAGCCACGTACACTGTGAGTACTCGGAGATAGCGTGCATTTTCATGTCCGGCGTTGCAGCACCGCCGGCGTTCGGTCATTTGCCGCTGATCTCCATGTGTTATTCAACGTGTCGCTTCCTTCCCAAAACTTGTAGTTACGTGGGAAACCTCGACACAGCGGTGACGGAGGAGCTTCTTGTAGCTGTGTTCGGACAGATGGGGCAAGTAAAAGGCTGCAAGATTATTCACGAGGTAAGTTAGTGCATCGGTTTTGTTTAATATATTTCCACCTGTGTAGCTTTGTTAGCTAGTGGCGTTAACCCTAACGAAAGGGGCGATCGCCGAATACTGCGACTTGCTATACGATGCTCGTGCATGTTTCGTTGCTGTCCTTGGAACCGTCTCACTGTGTTCGTTTACGAGCAGTGGTGGGAGCGCCGTGTACTTGATGTCCGATAATGACACTCGGTCACTTAGCCGACGATTCTAAGCCTAACAATTATGAATTACAAGCTCGAAAAACTGTTCGAGCTTGCCCCCCAGAACCACCGATCATAGTCTGTGTTGTATTTCAGTGTGATTACTTCTGCATGGTGACTAAAAGCGCATTTCACATGGAGTGTCGTGTGGGAGCGCGCTTGTGCGATTATTGACTTGTCAACTGCCGGCGACGTGTGTGAAGTTGCGTGCATGATTGTGACAGCTGGCACATTTATTGCGTTTCTTTAACATTGTCGTGTCAGTTATGCTATCGCGTTGAATTTTGTTAGGCACTCTTGCTTGCTTCTAGTTGTGCTGCGTCGTTGCTGATAAGTGCAGCCGGGTGCTATTTTTAGAGACTTCGGGACAATAAGGTGACTAAATTTCGCCAATTCATTCCAGTATGCTTTAATATGGGGGAAATATTGGGCTCGGTTGCAGGTGTATCAAACATGACCTGTGAATTAACAGTTCATGTTAGGTAACACCGCATGGATACCATACGTTGATTGTGCAGCCTTGTTGAGTGTGCCGTTCATTCAATGCATGTCTGTAGTGTAGTAAGTTATAGTCATGTGGGAAAGTAGCGTTTTTCTGGTCGTGCCATGTTTTCTTTTTTCAGAAGTTTGAATTCATTTTTGTAGCAGCTTCATCTTGCTTGCATATTTGTAGTTTGTGTGTAATCACATTCTTCTTTTCATCATTAGTTTGTAGTACATGTCAACATATATGGAAGCTGGTGTTGGTCATGCGAAAAACCAGCTCGGCCATTCCATCAGATATGGCACATAAGATTTGTTCATGTATGGACATTGTTTATGAAGCATGCCAGTGTGCACATAACCAGAGTTATTGAATCATATAAGTTGAGAAACTCCCCATTGACTCTATGTATCAAAGTATGGACTAGAATTACTGTGATTGATTAATATGAGCGGTTTAACATCCCAAAGCCACCTAATGATTATGAGAGACTTCGTATTGGAGGGCTCTAGAAATTTCAACCACCTGGGGTTCTTGAACGTGCACACAATTCTGAGCACATGGGCCTACATCATTTCCGCCTCCGTCAAAAATGCAGTCCCCGCAGCCAGTATTCGATACCGCAACTCGCGGGTCAGCAGCCGAGTGCCTTAGCCACTTGACCACCGCGGCGGGGCCGAGAGTTACTGTATATGCAACCCAAAGGTAGCAGAGTTGTGCCACTGTTTTCCGGGCGCCCCTCGCTCCGCCTGCTGTAGTTCAGCGCCCCTATTCGCCTAGTGCCATCACGTGGTCATGGTCTCGGACAGATTTCGGACAGATCAAGCGTGGTTGACATCAGCTATTATTCTCACCGCTGTAGTGAAGTAGAATATACTTACCGCGCTTCTTTGTTATTGAAACCATGTTGCCTTTTAGTTGCGAGAAATGTGGTAGCAAGTGCATTATTCTGTTTAATTCTATCACGTACAGCTCATGTGATCAGACGTGGGTGTTACTATAGAAATATAAGTGTTCACTGAGGAAGGAATAAACGCTCAGCTTTTTTTTTGTTTTTATTCATGGCACTGCTAAACTTGCTTTATATGCATAACCCACAGATGCAGTGAATATGTTATACATGCAGAGTTGGCCCGCCGCGGTGGTCTAGTGGCTAAGGTACTCGGCTGCTGACCCGGCATGGGTTCGAATCCCGGCTGCGGCGGCTGCATTTCCGATGGAGGCGGAAATGTTGTAGGCCCGTGTGCTCAGATTTGGGTGCACGTTAAAGAACCCCAGGTGTTCTAAATTTCCGGAGCCCTCCACTACGGCGTCTCTCATAATCATATAGTGGTTTTGGGACGTTAAACCCCACATATGAATCAATCAATCAACATGCAGAGTTGGTCAGCGTGTGTTGGCTGCATACGTCCAAATTGGTCTGACCAGTAAAATGCCAAAAATAAAGGAAGAAAAACTATAACTATTCGAATCGGCGAGGTATGGCATCTAGCGCATGAATTTAATGCAGCTTTCAAACCTTAAGCGGGAAGATTGTCTGACACGACAGGGCTGTTGAACTACGATTCACATCAGCTGCCGTGAGCCGCGATTGTCATACGAGCATAATATGTGAAGCGTGCGTAACATAGGCGTCGCCCGGCCACACTCGATCGCTATCCAGCTCGACTCATTTGGCTTCCTCACACAGTTAACGAATGAGCTCAACATGACGAAAAAATTGCATTGCTACTCGATAGTGATCAAAAGTGCAAATTAATTTTATATCTGTAAATGCTAAAAACAGTGGAATAGAAGATGAAGCTAATGTGTGACCAAATAAAATAAAGGGACATATAATAAAAATTATATGTCCCTGGTGTAACAAGCCAGCGTACTTGTTTTATTATTACATACCAAGAACGTAAGCATAAAAATCGAGGCTTCTAGGCGTGACTGGAGCAACCGAGTTTTGATCATACCTTCATAAAGAATAGAAAGGAAAAAAAAATAATAAAGCAATGCTAGTGCTTTGAAGCACGAGTGCTGCTTCTACACGGGTGGTGAGTGGCTTTCCTGCAATACATCTCAACCCAAGTTGGCGTATTGGCGCAACTCTGCTACTTAAAGGTAGTATATACAGTAACTCTAATCCGGGTGTATTATTGGCCTCCCCTGTTCAGAGTGAGCATATTGTCGCGCGACCTGTGCATCTGTACGGCCACTATTAAACACATTATTTGCGTCTTGTGTTGCCGCTCTCAGGTGGCACGGCAGTCAGTTAACTTCGGAAAAAATTGGGCTAACTGCGTGTCCGGATTTTGGAATGCAGTTTCACATTTAGTAACTCTGCACGCAACTAATAGGGGCCTCAACTATGCCCTTGTTATACATTTGAATATCACACAGTCTGTAGGCATATATTTATTTAGTGAATACTGCTGACTTCTATGCGAAGTCGTAGGCAGGAGTGGGTGACAGATACACTTGATTGGACATTTTCCAGGGCAAGAAAACAACAGAAGCTTAAAACAGAAAAAATATGTCGGGGGGGGGGGGGGGAATATAGAAGAAAAACGGGGATTTACAAACATTGAAGTCAATGCAGCGCTTCAGAATGAGCAGGTTTTGTGGATAAAAAAAAGGCGAAAAAAAAACATATCGACACAATCGACGAAGCGTGATACAATTGAGCTAGCGCTGAACCTAGGAAAGTAATACAACTCGGACACACACGAGAGATTAAATATATGTGTTATATTTATGGACATGTTGCCAGTGAAGGACCTAGTCGAGCCAATTTTGCGGCTCTTGTCTTGCACAGGCACGAAATAATGTTTCACAGCTGCATAGTGAATGTACGCTATTTTCTAGGTGTAGAGCCTGTGTTATGCCTTCTGCTAGGATTATGCAAGCAAGGTGCATGGCCCCCAATTGAACCAGAAGTGTGTGTCTGGAGTGTGCAGAACAGAGTATTAATTTGGCACTGTTTGTAAAAAGCACTAGGTGTGTGTGTGCATTGCAATCAGAGGTGCCATTTGAAGTCTGCTATTTTTAAGCAGCCTCGATTATACCTAATGGCCTGAAATTGCGAGATCAAATCCCAGCCGCAGCGGCCGCATTTTCCATATAGGCAAAAATGCTTGAGTCATGTGTATGTGAACTCAGGTGCATGTTCTACCCCTGTCACACTAATGTCATTCTGTGCAGCAAATGCCATTTATTCGTTACATTAATGTCATTAATTCAGAAAAAATGGCCGAAAGTTGTTGAAGGTAACCACAAAATGGAATAAAAGGCAAGATGTTTACTTTAAGACTTGCGGGAAGTCGCCTCACTTAAAAAGGCTCATAGAAATTTTATATCTCGGAATATATGGCCACTAGACGATTCAAGCAAGTAGCCACAGCCGATAGAATAAACATAAACAACACGGCTGATATGGCAAAGCCACTGAATGATGCCAAGCTGCAGCAAGTAATGCGTTTAGTTGTTATTGTGATATGAAAAATTTACATAAGCCAGATAACTTGGATCATGAGGTTAAAAAAAAATATCCTCTTGATGCCATCGCTGAAGATGCACACGTGCATAGAAGCGTTGGCTTGTTTACATTATGGCCGAAAGCCAGACGCCACTGAGGTGGAGAGCAAAAACATTTTGCCACAGCCTTCCGTATGCCTGACCTTCTAAAATGGGGGATACCTTCAAAAAGCAACATTAATGGCGTGTTTCCATGAATGGAGGTCCAATTGAGAATGCCGTCATTAAGTTGTCCCTGGGATAGAGAGTATACATTTGGTTCGGCTGCGATGGCAAATGTGTTTCTCGAACTCATTCGATTGCCTAAATAATTCAATTCTAATGACATACATATTGGTGTAGCAGCCATATAATGTCATTAGATGCGAATGTCATTCCATTTAAATGATATTAAAACGTCCAGTCTGACAGGGAGGTAGTTTCCAGAGCCTCCCACAACGGTGTCTCTCGTAATCATATCGAGGTTTCGGGACTCCAACTACTATTAAATCCTGTTCAACCCTACGGCAAAAGGCATGATGTGACAAGATTTGGAGGCTTGTTCTGTCCGAGATCAAAACTTGAAGGTGTCACTAAATATGAAGAATGCACACCTGTTGTTCTAATGAAATGCTTTATTGAATACATATGCAGTCACTGTTTTTATTTACCCGCGTCTGGCGAATAAAAACTGTGAATTGCTGCTTATGTGTGAACGCAGTAAAAAGGCAGTTAAATTTTTTGTATAAGTCTTGTTATTGTTGCTTGCTTGGATGTTTGTATAAAGC